TTTTCATATTTTAGTTTGATGGTTCATGTGATTCAATTTTAATAAATGTGAGCTTTACATTGTGAGGTTTATCTTAAGAGTTGTTTTCATTTCTGTGCCTGATTTATGTCATTGTACTGTACACATATTTTGACAAGGGCATCAGTGTAAAACTTTGGAAGTGGCCTAGAATTTGTGCAAAAAAAGAAAATTTTTTCTAATTTTTGTATAGAAGAAAATAATAATAATAATAATAATAATTACAGTAGAGCATCGTTTATCCGAAACAACGGTTATCCGAAAGCATTCCGGTCGGAAAATTTAAATTTTCGCTAGTACTGTGGCGCTGCAATCTTTGGCTGTATCTTGGGCTACTCCAATATTTGTTTTTGTTGGTGTGTTTTTTTTAGCTGGCAGCACTGGCACTTTTGTGTGGTGTTTTTCTGAGAACTGTGTGTCATGCTGAATCAAACGTTTTTGATACTAGATCATCTTCTAAAGTATATATTTTTTGGTTTTTATATTTTTCAATATATTTATTTTGTTTGTAAGAAATAAAGAAATAATTTTTAACAATACAATAGCCACGATTACTATTTTAAAAAGTATACGTTAGGCTTAACATTGACGAAAATTCAATGCGAAACGAAATGCAACGGAGAAAAATTTCAACACGAGATAGGTTAATATATTTTTTCGTACATAATCAGTTATCCGAACAACCCCAGTCCCCAATTGATTCAGATAAACGACGCTCTACTGTATTATAATGTTGTAAAAAGAAACCATCAAATGAAAAATGAATATTTTATGTCCATATACAGACATGTCTGTAGAAATTTCTAAGAAAATCAAACTACTCAGATTGAAACAATAAATGAATTTGAGTGCTTAGATCTAACATCTTCAATAGGAATCGAATTGTCAGTTGGTGTTGACTCACCCCACGATCTAGGTTCCAATCTCGTTACAATTCGTAATGAGGAGGGGACCAATTGGAGTGCAGGGGCAAATCGGCATCGACCTATCGGAATGTTCGATCTGGGACCAAGAGAAAACTTATAAAAATCGTGCGGAATAAGGATGTGACGTTCTTGGTTCTTGGTCCTTGGATGCCTAGTTAGTGACTCCCCCACTTTGGTTGTGTGTGCAGCATTAGAAAGTTAAGAAGGGCTTCCACGTACCTTGGATAGCAATCAACATATGACAGTGCCAGCCAGCAAAGGAAATTCAGTATCAACACAGAAGCGCTCACCAGGATCGACGAGCGACCATAAACCCATACGAGGATGCCCAAGATCGGAAGCCTGAGATCGAAGGACATTACATTGTTGGACTATTATATAACTGTTGCAACCAGGATCCTAATGTTTCAAAGTTTTGTAAGAAACTATTTTGATGTTATTAAATGGGTAAAAATGGAAAAACCTGTCTCTGTGAGTTCTGCTGCGCTCACGTGACACTGCTGACCGCTCAATTGTCGCGAAACTTTCCACCTATCGGCAAACCTCACACCAGGACAAAATATTAAACCTGTAAGTGCGCCGTAGACTGATAAAGTTTGGGAACCATTGGTCTAAACTAAAACCAAAATTGCTTGGGTCAAAATGCTTAAGTACCGAATAACTCTTGCTTCATAAACTATATTCTTGTCTGATTCACTATTTTTTGGATACATTTATTCATGGTAAACAGTACATAAAATATATTTCTTTCAAGTAAAGAACTAAAGATTTAATATAATAAATTATTCCAACAATTATTTTTCAATATTCCATTGCCAAAATACATTTTTTCAATGAAAAGCCTTGTTTCTGGTTTTATTAACCTGTAACATAACTAGATGCTATCAGCCATTTAACATAAGCTGTAACAATGAATTCAGTTGTACTTAGGTGAAAGATTAAGAGCATTCTTAAAGCAGTACAAATGTTCTGTATACAAAGAAATTAATGATTTTATAATTGAAAGACTCAGTATAATATCATCACTGAGCATTACGGCACCATGCCAAATGCCATGATTCAAAAAATTTCGTTCATGTCCCAATCAATTAAAATCAGCGATTTTGATATTTTAATGTCAGATTGTAATCTTAGTTTAAAAAAATTCATTTGTAAAATAAATTAATTTAAAACAAATATATAATTTTCTATTTTATTATGAATAAATTAAATTTAATTAAGATAAATTTACATTAGAAATTGATGATGTTTGGAATTCATAATTTCTGAATATCAATTCATACTTAAGAAAAATATCATTAGTATAATTCTTTTTAAAAATTAATATTATACAAATATTTTACCAATATTAATTTATCATCAGTTAATGAATTTAAAATACAAAGATAATTAATTGAGTTTCTATTAATTATAATAAAAAATGCATAATTTAACAGAAAATTAGATCAAAAAATTGTGCTAATTATGCAAAAAAAATAATGCTAATTTAAAATTGCTTTCTAAATATGGCTTCCTGCATTTCAGAAGTGTTAAATTTTACATATTTTTGATATATTTTTCTCTGAATAAAGTAATTCAGAACGTGATAAGAGATTTTGAAACAGGGAGGTTGTTAAATATTTGGTTTAATAATAATAATATTGAATTTAACTGACTTCAGAATGACATATAATTACATTATTTCATTCACATCTCTAATGCATTATTTAATATTTATAAGACTAAAGAAACTAAAACTAGTTTAGGAATTTGAATATCTTGCTAAAAAATCAAAAATCCATTTAAAATCATTTATAATTCTATGCTTTTACATATTTTAATAGTCGTAACAAGCACTAGAAAAATAATTACATTCTGTCAACGAAAGATGTGAATTTAGAATTTTGAAAGGTTTGACATCAGAATTCTTCAAATGATTAGATTAAAATTGCTTTAACATCAGCATTATGTCTCATTTATCACTTAATCTACTCTTAGTTAATATTATGCTTATTACAGTGTCTAGTTACAGATTATGGGTTAATCTAAAATTATTTGTAATATTTCCCATAATTTATCATATTCCGAAATTCTGTTACAATTCACTTAAACAGATATATAATTTATGAAGTCATTTACATAAAGAAGAATATTCAATGCTTATTGATTGTTTTTGACATTGCATTTCCAGTATTTCTGAGTTATCTCATACAGGGAAAGAACTATAAATAGAAAG